GGGTAACGGGGTGGGGACGTGGGGTCCGGGGTGAGGATGGGAGTGGGGATGGGTTGGGGGGATGGGGTGGGTCGGTCAACCGCTTGAATATTTTTTTGGAGTCGCGGGGCATCCCAGACGCCGTGTGCCAATGTTTGCGAGCCCGCACAGGGCTGCCTGGGGCCCCCGCCGCGACGCCGCTCACCCCTTCTGCTCACCTGCAAGAATGCTGGGCTGTGGGTTCGCTTGCAAATGCGGTGGCGGCCGTGCGGCCGGACGCAAGTTTTCAGACATTCAGGCATGGTGCTTTTTTCCAATCATATAAACCGGGTCAGGGAGCTCTTCCGAGGTCCCGCCTGCATACTGTCTGCTTTGGAAGTTGCTGGCAGGGGCTGCGGTCCATCAAACCTGAGTGTTTGCAACCCGCCTTGTATGAGAGGCTCGGCCACCATCGTCTTGCCTGCCCCGGCCCCATGCCCTTCATCATTGTCGACCTGCGCCCCCCACCCGCACCCACGCCCGCCCCCAGGGAGCACGCCCCGTACGCCAGCCGGGTAGCAGCGCTGCACCCGGGGCGCGCACACCCCGGGTACGGGTTCCTGGTGAGCGCCGCGGCCGACCACAGCTGGATGTGGGGCACATGCTGCTGGGGTACACGATCAAGGGCACATGTCTTTGACGGTGTGCCCAAGAGCCTGCCTCGCGCGAGGCGCACCGAGGCCAGGCTTGTGTGCCGGGCCAGCTCTGATAGCGGCTGCACACTCTGTCAGATCCGAATTTGTTTTGTGCGCAACACACATGCGACTCGCCAGCCACCTCCCCCGCCCCTCGGCACTGCCTCTCCTAGAGTGTCATCGCGTTTCCCAATTACTACGCCGCCAGCTTTGGGGAGCTGGGGGGACCCCAGTGCGAGCGGTGGTCGCGCGAGTTGGTTGAGGCAGGGGCGCGCACGCGGGCGTGCGTCTTTTGGCAGCTGGATTACGCGCGCATGATCAGGGTCCAGCGGCGATGACACAGGGATTGAGAACAGGGCTGGTTGGCTGAACCAATGTTACGTGTTTCATGCGAGCGGTCCTGCTTGCTTGAAGGTTACATAATGGTATGTGTGTTTCTAGTATTCATGGTTGCACTCCAGCATGTGTTGGTCTGGATTGTTTGTTTGAGACCCATGTTGTGGACTGGTGATTACGATGAGTGGAGGAGCGGAGCGCCGCTTGCTGTATTGGCACGCTGGCGGTGGAGGGCGCATCATGAGGCTCGACACAGCTTGACAGCATGCCCCACTGCCGCCTGCTTATCCGGATGCAAGTCAGAGCGGCTGTGTGACTAGGAGGCACCCCCATGTCACACCCAGCATCGTGAAGCAATCTCCCCCAGCCAGCTGTGCAGTTGGGTGCTAGAGTCCAGCGCTGGCCATCCAAGGCTGTTCTTGTCCATTTGCAGTTGCCGCCCATTTGGGCGCTGCCGAGGTCAGAGGACAATTGCTTCTTCGGGGTTGTGTGCGTGGCCCAGGCCCTACTGCGCTGTCAACGGTGCTTTGGTGAGGGGCAGCAGCAGCCTCGCCGCTTTGCTTGTGCTGAAAGTGAGTTTCGATCGACCGCCGCCTCATCCATCCTTGCTGCCATGAAGGCCCGCTTATCAACAATACCTCAGGATGGAAAAAGGGAGGGGGAACGCGAGCACACGCACAGCGGAATCTCGGTGCCCTCGCTGCTGGCACGTACACCATCAGCATCTCAGGCTATGAAGTTGCCAGAATAAGAAACCTGACGAGCACACACACGTGCACCCCTTGCAATCACATTCGTCCCCCCTGATAACAACATCCATATATTGGTATGCATCAACACCACGCCCACGCACCCAAGTGTTAGCGCCGCCGCGTGCGGGGCGCCGACGCCAGCGCAATACTGGAAGGCCGGAGAAGAGGGGTTTGCACTGGGATTATCAACCTCATGCCAGCCGCAGCAGGACTTCGCACGGCGCCTGCACTGCCGCCGCCTTTGCTGCTGCCTTGTGCACCGTCCCCCACAACTGTGCGTTGCTGCTGCTGCTGCTGCTGCTGCTGCTGCTGCTGCTGCTGCTGCTGCTGCTGCTGCTGCTGCTGCTGGTGGTTCTGTGCGGCAGCGCGCCCTCGGCCGGCCTTCATGTCTCTGTTTGTGTCGCATGCGGTGGCGTGGCGGCAGCCGCTACTGCTGCAGGCACCTGGCATGCATATGCCTCCTGGACTGATGAGCAGCGCGCCCAGCGGCACCTTGCACAGGGTCCTGTGTCGTACCCAGCCTTCTCGGCTGCCAGCCGACGACGAGGACCCCCTCGCCTGCCCATGGCACGTGGCGGCACCACCAGCGCTGCCGCGCACAGTCCCAGGGCACGACTCGGCTCCAGAAGCCCAAGGCGTCGCAGCAGCCCTGCCTACACTGCCGCTCCTCGCGCTGGCGGCGGCGCCAGCAGCTGCAGACCTCGCGGTTGCCTCCCTGGCCGTGAGGTGGAGGTACTCTCCGAGGCTGTCTGGCTTGGCAGTGCTGAGGAGCTGCCGGTAGCTGCCCTGGCCCCCCGCCAGCACCGAAGAAGCCTCAACTGCCGAGCTGGCTGCCGCATGCCTGTTGCTCGAGGCTTGGACTGACGGCGTGGCTCCATCCGCCAGGATCCCCACAAGGTGCAGCCGCGGCACGGCAGCAGAGGCCGCCAGCGGGTGCCCCGCACTGTCGCCGCCGCTGCTACTCCTTTCCCAGACAGCGCCATTGCCTGCAGTTGCTGCTGGGGCCTGCTGCTGCTGCTGCTGCTGCTGCTGCTGCTGCTGCTGCTGCTGCTGCTGCTGCTGCTGCTGCTGCTGCTGATGCTGCTGCTGCTGATGCTGCTGCTGCTGCTGCTGATGCTGCTGCTGCACCCATTGTCTGCGCCAGGTCAGAGATCCTTGATCTGGGCCAAGGCATGCGCTGGGCCCTGGCTGTAGGGGCAAGTTGACTGCAGGAGAGGGTCGAGCCGTAGTTCCTGGCCGTGTCAGCACGACCCCCGCCACAACGACCACCTCCAACGGCCCGCTGCCGCCAGGCCCACTGCCGGGGCCGCCGTTCCCAGCAGCAAAGCCCTCGCTGCGAGTCCAGGTTGGGCTGCTGTATGGGCCAAGTAGTCGGCTTGCCACTTCAGCGCTTGCTTCGTGGGTGTCCTCAGACGGCTGCAAACCAAAGCTCCCCTCGGCGACCTCGGACGAGCCGCGCTCTTCGCTGCCGCCACCCCCACCGCCGGCCCCTCCGCCCCCGCCGCTGCTCATTTGGCCGCCGCCGCCGCTGCCGTTGGCCGCGCTGCGGCGGCGCTCCCTCTGATGCATGAGGGTCTCGCTCCACTCCCGCTGGTGGCGCATCTCAGCCTCCGCCTCTGCCATGTCGCGGCTGGCCTGGCCGACGTCGCCGCTGAAATCAGCCCACCTGAGGTGCCCGGTGAGGGAACGGGTGCAAAGGGGCACGCACACCCATGCACGGGTAGTTGGGGGTGCTTGCAGGGCACGTGGTCAGCGCGAGAGGATAGGTCTGCACCACTGCACAAATGGGTGCACTGCAACCTATTTTGAGCGCTGCCTTCAGCAAGCAATGCTGGGAGAAGCTGCAGCGGTGCTCAAAAGCTCACCCACAGGACGCCCATGCTTCGCCGCGTGCGCAATCCCCGGCTGCTGTCACCAGCAGTTCTATAATCAGATCTGCACCCCGCACCACCGTTAACGTAAACGACGTGAACCCCCCCTCACTTGCTGCGCGCCTCCCCGCCCGCCATGACCTCCCCCATCATCTGCTCCCGCCTCAGCTTGGATATCATGGCGCCAAACGGCAGCGCGGTGCCGCTGGGCAGCAGGTACTCGCCAGAGAGCAGCTGCTTGCCAGCCGCAAACTCCTGAGGTGCGGGTTTCATCAAAATGCGATGAGGGCTCGAGCGGGGGTTGAGGCCAAGCACCGACAGCCATATGCAGAGGTCCAGCACATAGCCCCTTGCTTACTCATTCATATATGATTGTGCAGGGACCACCGCCAGCAGGCCTGTACAAGAGTGCAAATGTGCAGGTCTGGAACCCGGTCAGCGCAACGCCGCCGGCCAACCTCTGTCATGAAGGCCTCGAACTCGCCCCATCCGATGCAGCCGTCGCGGTTGGCGTCCATGAGCTGGATCATCTGCACGGAGGGCATGCGTGCGTGTGCACACGCGCGTGTGCCGAAGTGACTGCTTGCACCAGCGCCACCTTTGAGTCAGCCACGCAGGCCTGCGCCTGCAGCTTGCCTTGCCTACAGCGTAGCCTCACTCGTCCATAGCACACAGCACAAAGGCCCCGCCCACAGGCGGCAGCAGCAGCGCAGCTTACATCCCGCCCGCCTGCTGTGCGTTTGCATCCCACCCACCTCGTCGATGGAGGCCGCATCCGCCGGTATCTGCGCGGCCTGCAGCGCCGCCATGAGCTCGTGGTGCTCCAGGGTGCCGCTGCCGTCGTCATCCACAAGGTCAAACCTTGGGGGAGGACACGGGGGGGACGCGCGCGCGCGCGTGTGTGTGTGTGTGTGTGTGTGTGTGTGTGTGTGTGTGTGTGTGTGTGTGTGTGTGTGTGTGTGTGT